AGTACCATCAGTTCAAGAAAGCTTATTCCTCCGCATTTTGTATAACTTTACATGTTAGACTTTTTTTCTATCTCGCTATACAAAAATGTTTTTTGGTTGATGATGCGTTTTGAACATTTGGATTGTTTATGAGGTTGTACTTAGTCTTGAGATAGGGTACAATAATTACTATGTACTTCTTTTGAGCCTTCTTTTGCTTCAGAATTGCTGCTCTCCTAGGGAATGCTAGTGCATTGTCTACAAGAAAATCATGAGCTCACTTCTCCGTCTGACATCGTGAAGTCTGCGTATACATTCTTTCCAGATATGAGGAGAAAAAAATATAGATTTGCTTTCTTCATGTATTAATTGATGCTATCAATCGCTTTGTTCTCTTAGTCGGAATTGTATTTAACTGTTTGGTTGTTAACAGTTTGCTTCATACATAGCCTAAAAACTGATTTCTACCAAAACACTAATAATTATAAACTTTTTAACGAAGGCAGATATATTTACTTGTTCTTTATAATTTAGTTTTTTTACTTTTATTGTTGGTTGCATTCAAAAAATCTATTTTTTGAGCAGTGAAAATTGCTTGATGTAATCTTTGCGTAAGTCAGAATGGACTGATAAAATTTTTGAATCCATTACATCAATAAATGTTAAAGAAATGTTATTAAGTTGGAGTCACGTTTGTTAAGTTGGTATTAAGTTCAACTTGAATATGAAATGCAAATAGCTATAAAAAACGAGTACTGATTTCGATATTTGCAAATTTTCACACATGAAGACAAATTCTTTTCAAAATTAGAACGAAGAGGGTAAGAACTCTAAAATTTAGATCGCTAACATTTCATTCATTCTCAGTGACACTATATTAGCTTATTAGTAGCATGAAGAACTAACTCATTTTCACGTGTTGGCTCCTTTTTGTTTCTAACAATTAAACAGAAGTACAGAAGTTCCATCTCAGTACTGTTCTTCCCTACTAATTGGGTTGCTTTGAGCAGTGTCAAGAGGATTGTAGCATAACAGTTTTGTCTATAGCAAAAAGCTATTTCCTATTCAGCAAGTTTAAGGTGGCACTCATGCTTTTCACGTTAGTCCTAAAATTTAAATGATGATATTATTGTTAATTGTACTATGTGCTTTCAATTTGATTGGTTTATCACAGTGAATGTGCATATTCTCACCAAAAAGTAAAATATTTTTAAAGTATTATAATACTACATAAAACAAGTTTCACTCCAAAAAAAGTAATATATGTGGAGACGTGTATGTGTTTTATTGTGCCAATGTATGTCTGTGCGCGTATATATATGCTTTTGCGGTTATGTGCTGCGTGTGCTTATGTACCATAGATATCACATACATAAACGTGCTTGTAGTAGTATATATGTATATTCGTATAAGTGTTTGCGTGTTTCTGTCGCGTGTTTCTTATATTACACTGGTGTTTTATTGGATGGCAGAGGCAACCAAACACAATGATTCAAATTTCTACTTCTGTTAAACGATAAATCATTTAGAGATAAATTTGCTAAAATAAGTAACATTTAAAACTATTTGGTGGCACACACAAAATTAACTATAATAAGACTCACATAAATGAATTTTTTTAAACCGCATTTAGTATGAGATATTGTGACAGATTCTTCGCTTTTAAATAACGTCTCGGGGGAAAATGTGATATTTCTCCGAGTTAAATAAGCACACATTGAAAAAGTGTCTCAAAGTTTATCTATGTTACCAACCATTTAAAGTTCAAAATGTACCGCTATGCATGGTTTTCTCAGTCTGGTCAGATCTTTTTCAAATAGCATTGGTGAGAAAGGAGATATATGGACTGTTTTTGTTCAGTTCTTTCATATATACATATACATCCCATCAATTCTTAAAGAAGATTGATGAATGGGATATTTGCGTTAAAGTGGTATAGATGCATCTATAATCGTTGGTCCCTCAAGTTTTTGTTTTTCTGATGGACGCGTCGTCCATAATCTGTTGATAAGCCAGTATAAAGTTTGCACGGTCCTTCATACTGAACTGTTTTCTATTACAGCAATGGTATTTTGCAAGGGGACTTGGTATAACATGACCTTTCCTTATTGCAACTCATTTTGCTAACTAATTATGTCATTTGATAAACACATCAAGAAACGCAAGTTGAGACGTGGAATTGTTACTAATCACTCTTTTTATGGATTCTTTGGTTGAATATTGATAATGAATTTATCTCTGAATATCCTCATTTTCTGAGGGTGATACTGAAATAAAACATTAATGATTTTCGAATTGGTGGGATACAGATAAAGAATTTTGCTGTCATAAAGCCTTTAGTCAGAGTTCAAAGGTAAAGGACATACAACGAAGGAATGCACACTTCATGTCTAGAAAAACCAGAGTCGTTCATCTTATACCCAGCATTGTTGACATGTGTAAATTTTGCCATTTATTCGATTTAAAAACTGTAGATTGTAAACAGATATCTGAGATCTGTTAATATGTGCTAGCTCTAACATATAATCGCGTCACGCCAACAAAGAAAGCGGGAAATTTACACGCAATACTAGTGACAGTGATTTGTTCTCGTGCATATATATTATTGGAATGTTGTACAATGTGACTGTCTTGTGTAAAATGCAGAATTATAATCATTTTATCAACACAAAAAATAGTCAGTAAAAACTATAAAACATAAAAAACTAGAAAGATATCATGAAAGGAAAGTTTTGAGAAAAGCTTTGAATTGAATGAATTAATTTAACCTACCTATTATCTAGTGAATTTGTATGCTTCCGTAATCTACCTATTTCATTACGTGAGAAATTCTTACTCTGTAATGAATGTGCAGGTTACGCTTACCATAAATGTTTACTATAAAAGTCAAGTATGGTCATGATATGACGTTGCAGTCAAACAAACGATAAGTATCAAATGATAACTGCATTATCTAGTGAAATTTTCTTAATTTCTCATGTTAGAGCATTAAAACCGCATCACTAAGCTATTTACCTCAAAACCTATGCTTTATGTATACAATCCTTTGGATAATGGTAGGGCACCATTTTCACTTTTACTCATGTAGTAAAACTAATTTGAGTAATATTATAAGAAAACAAAAGCTACTTCATTACATTGTAAGTCAGAACTACTTGAAAACGAATAATTTTTAAAAGAGAAATGCAAACCTTAATATCTTGAAGGAAAGTAGTGTCCGAATGCAAGAAATTCAAGAAAAGCCGTTTCCCACCAAATTGGTGAGATTACGACTCGCAACGAAAGCTTGCAAATAAGCTTAATCTGATGACTCATGTTTAAAAGCATCTAATTCTTACAGCAAGATATTTGCAATGATAATTATAAGAACTACTAGAAGGTACTAAAAATAAGACGTTAATACTACTCCGCTGAATACTAAAACTCGACCTCGTCAATATCCTGCTAGAAACTAAAGCTCGATCTCGTCACTACCCTGATAGAAACTAAAGCTAAATCTCATCACTACCTTCTGGGGAAATAAAACTCGACTTCAACTACCTTATGGAATAATAAACAGTCTTAAAGGTGACCCCTTGGATAATATCTCACCTGGTAGATATTAAATGAAAGTTATTGAGAAAAAGACTTTCTCGGTCTAAAACTCGAATTTTTCAATTCATTTTGTTGCAGTTGAGTCTATCCAGGTTAGCTCACACTGTCGCTTACATCTTGAAGTAGCGTGTCACGCGGCATCCGCAAGCTCAATTTTACATGACGCAGAGTGCACCATACAGGCAATTTTTGGACTGGTTCTGCGTTCGGTCGTGACGACACGCTGCTCGAGATGGTCTGCGTTGGGGATTATTTCGCCCCATTGGTCGACGGACAGTGCATGTCAATGAGTTAGTTTTATTAGATTAAAAAATTAAAAATTGAGACTTGCTAAAGTAGTATAAATGATAATCACTGCAGTATGTCACTTTTATCAGTATTTGATGTTGGCTGAATTAATGAAAATTTCAGTGGATGTGTCCAGACAAGTGGCCTTCAGACGACAAATGTGGCTCAGAAGGCTTTGATGAAACTGGTAAGTACTTTTTTCTTTTCTTAATTATCTTTTGATAGTATAAGAAAGAGTCAATGTTGTAGATATTTTCTATTAGTCGCCTTCAAATGATTAGTAGTACAATTTTTCATGATCATGTTTCCATGTGATTAATTTTCTGTTTGCAGTCTGGGCACAGACAGTGACAACGCCGTTGCCGGATTCAGATGACAGCCTGGTATGTTTGATTTGAACCTTATTATATAGAAATATCAGACTTAGGTATTAATTTGTGCCAAATTTATTAATTATGGATGGTGATAAATCATAAGTTCTCCAATTTTAAACAAAGCATAATTCTTGCAGAGCACACCCAAACCGAGTGGATTGAATTTAACACTCGGTGTACCAGGGCCGCAGCTGAATGCTTCCACACAGCAAAAGGTATCTATTTCTAATTAACACATTTTTTTAAAGTGCTTCTTTATGCATATATATCATGGAAATCGAGTGTCTTTTTTACATTCTTTTGGTAGTTTCAAGCTCAGAACAATCCTCCTCTGCCGCCAGTCATGAAAGTATTGGTTGCTAGCAACGAACCAGAGATGACGGTTGCATCTGAGGTACATTTATACACAGAAAATTTGTTTATGCTTTACTAAGGATAAATTAAGCATAGTTAATTCAGTTAATTGACTGAGCAGAATTTAAATTTGCTGTTTTTCAGGAAGATTCACTCGTTGCACGTGGTCGGAGAAAGCATGCCAATCGCAGACTACCACACAAAGTTGTGAGGTTTTCTGATATTTAGATGATATATAATTTATTAATTGAATAGATTTCTACTAATTAACTGACAGATTTTCATTGTTTTTTTTTGGGTATTTGAGACGTAGACGAAATAGATCAGAACCTTATCAATACTTATATTTTTTAGTATATATACCTTTTTTTACGTCGGGCAATATCTTTATCTCTTTGCAAACAGTAGATAAATAGATTAACACCTTTCTCAATATATATAATTTGATTAGGTAATCACTCACATTTATTAATACTACAGGCGCAGGTATAGGTCACGCACTGGCCCACAAGACGCCTTTTTGCCAAGGTACCCAATCCTGCAGATTATCCAGGTTTGGGGTTCCTGCAGCAGAACTATACGTGGTACAAGATAGGACGATTCGTAAGTTTTTTTGGTTGTACATTATGTCTATGATAATAAAATAATATTTGTAAGATTAAATTGCTATTACGATTCGCTTAAATTATCTTCTCTGAAGAGAAGATAATTGCAATATCGCACGATGTCCGCTGATGCGTAGTAAATCGTTTACATCAGTGTGTGCATGCTGCACGCCGTGAAAATAGCTGCACATGTACTGGATGGTAAGCATTTTCGTTCTCCTTTTTTTTGGAACTCTTATCAATTAGGTTGATTATCTAATCAGTTGATGACCATTAGCAGTACATATATCATATTGAAAAAGAATTCTTCGAATCATCTTTTTGATAAGCCTTTCTTTCAGCTTACTGTCACCAATGTAGTATGTACATCAGCCTTCCGCAAGATAGAATTACACCTAAAACAAAGGTATTTTTGCATTTTGATTTGTGCAGAAAGTGAAAGGCATTTAAATTTATGCAAGATTTTAAAAACATTTAGATGTATGCAAGAGAATATGCGATCGATGAAGAAGAAAGAGACGCGAAAAGCGCAAGCGTCGTCGATAGGAGGAGGAGGGCTCTGCCACGAATTGCAGAACATTCTGAAAATATGGATGGCATGAATGTAGATGACCGAATTCTTTAGTTTGTTTTAAATGATTTGAAATTTTTTTACGGTTAGTTTTTACTGTTAAGAATAATTTTTTGTATTGTTTTAGTTTCTATTGTTAACTATTTTGATTCGAGTCCGTATATTTTGTTTGTTTATCATTTTGTAGTCTTTCTAAAACTTTTTGTCTTTTTTTATAATGCTGTATTGCATAACAATAATTATTGTATTGTACAATTATTTTTATATTTTTTCTATCTTCTTGTATTAATTATAAGTCTTTCCTTAATTGTCTGTATTTGTAAGTCTTTTTAAAAAAAGCTTTATATTGTTTGCATTAATTAATGAGAGAGTTTCAAAATTTTTAGATGAAATATCTCGCCCGGCGAAACTAAGCTACCTTTAGACTCATGAACCTTAACCTATCTTTAGTTATTATAATCTTACCTATTTACTTTATAGTTAATTACCCTACATAAAAACATTTTTATTTAACGTAGTTGTAGTCCCAATTCTCTAACAATTTTAAGCTACTCAAAAAAAAATTTCAAATAAACATTTACGGTAAAAACGTAACCTTTACCAACATCGAAAACATCCACTTTTGATAATTTGCATTAAAATTGCCTTTTTTTCGGAATTTCTTCTCAGGGATCGTCGAAAATTTTCTCTCGTTCTTTCATTGTATGCTTATATGACTATGTATATATACTTGCGTGTAAATGTAGTAGCACTCCTATTACTAGCAGTAATCAGTGTAAGACAAAAATATTCCAAAAATCAGAATTTTGATTAATTAAAATATAATTAAAACTTTTGCGGGTCCCGCAAGGGACTGGAATGGCAATTTCTAGAGTTTGATATTGGTACTTTGTCGTTGTGTGATGAGAGAACGAGAGAAATTTTCCTATTAAGATCTCAGAAAGAACCATATTCAAGAAACCTGAATTTGTATTTGACTTAATATTCTTACTATATTTCTACTGAAATTGCTAGAAATTTCCACATATTTATACATCTTGTGAACTTCGCACACATTTTTATCATGGAAGCTTATTTTTATACATTTATTTTTTTGCAGTTATATTTTTGTATATCTTATCTAGCGATTTAAATAATTAAATTCTTAATTTCATACACTTCAGTCATTCATTAGTTGTGTTGAATGTTTGCTTGCTCTACGTCCCTCAACATACTAATACTAAAGTATTAGTATAAATAACAGTATTAGTGTAAAGAATAATATGATG